AAAAAGAAGTCAAATTTATCAGGATAGACCGACATTAATCCAACACTCCCTCATATATGGGTTTTAAGACCTATTTCACTATATTTCCCAGCGTCCACTGTTCTGCATTCAAATAATATATATGTATATAATCCTACATATCCTACGTTGTTTATCCACTGCAACAAGAATCCACTCAAATAAATAAATTTACAACAACAACATTTATTATTGAAACCCTAAATATAAAGCCTAACGACCAACCAGCCGACCACTTTTCAATAAATCTTTGTGAAATATTGAAACCGCACACTCACATTCTATGATAATCGAGTTGCAGCAGCAATAACCGCTCCTTTTCTCATTCCCCCACTCCTCTCACAAACAAAATGCAACGTCATGCAACCACTCGCCCTCGAAGTCTAACCAAAAAAACCACTGTCCACAGTGGTCATCGTGGTGGGGGTAAGTGAAATGGATCGACTCGTGCGCGAAGGTGGCAGGAGTGAAACCTCCTCAATAAAATTCCATCGGCTACAATTACAAAACCAACAACAATAAAATTAATAATAAATAAATAAATGATAACAAGAGGATAGCCGCCGCTGGACCACCAACCGGCCATCATAATACAAATAATAACAAGAACAACAACAGCAAACATATTCTGGCGTGTGGGTGACATGACGAAGAAGAAGAAAAATCGACAGCAACAACATTGTGAGTTATGATGGCAAACTGAGACCGAAAGCAATTTACTTGCTGGACCTTATCAGTGGAAATGCAAAACGCTCGACAGCGGTTGACAATCCCGCAGTTGAGCCATAGTTATTGACATACCTAAAGCGTATAAAAATATGCAGCGATTCCTAAAATGATTTGTTGAAATTGAGAGATGAATTTTGTTTGGGGGTTGATGGGTGATTCATAAAAAAATCGCATCATCATCAATCTCAAGTAAATGCAAACACTAACGCTTTGACGGTTTTTTTAGCAGTTGGTCAAAGGCTATACCAAAGTAATACCAGCAGCCAGTTCAGCTTTCCAACATGACGCAGAGTTCACACCACAGGGTGCAATTATATTATGAATTGGTAGATTATTTGAGTTGTATACATTGTTCGGATAGAGAGGGAGGGCAATCAGTGGATCAAAGGAAAAGGTACTCCTGATTGGATTAATATAATTCACTAGACATATATTTCATACCCTCAGCCTTTGGCTACGTTAGGAAGATATCACTTAATAGTTTTAAAATGAACAAGTGAACACAGTGTAAGTTCGGCCGAACTTTGAATACCCTACACCATTTGGAACAAATTTAGCAATTTCCAAAAAAAAATGAAATCCGCAAAAAATTTCGTTTTAATCTTAAAAATACCGGATGTAGCCTCATATTAAGGTCTACAGGGTGAGATGAAAAAACCGCAACCAACTTCAGACTGCTCCCATTTCTAAGCCACTCGTCCGACAGCTGTTTGAATTATTCCAGTGACAGCTCATTATATTATTCACAAGCGTACAGAAACATTTTGGTGAGAATTTTCCAGAAAAAAACAGTAAAGAAAGTCTTAAAGACAGGAGGGGCCGACTTTACGATACCCTACACCTCTTTGATAATTTAGTAGAGCTCCGCATAACAATTAAAAGTTTTTTATGGGAGAATTCAATCATACACCCTATGATTATAATTATAATTTAAAGTTCAAAGGACTAAATATGCCGAAGCATTGGTATCTTTTAAATTCGGACTTGTATTGCTCATTTGATATATATGGGAGCTATATCCAAATCTGAACCGATCTTGATAAAATTTGGCAAAGATATTTCTGAGCTGTAGTTCCTATATCCCCCTGAATATCGTTATTACGGAGTGCATATTACGGCTGTGGGTAACAATATAACAAATCGGATCAACAATATATATGGGAGCTATAGCTATATCTGAACCGATCTTCAATAAATTTGACGTACTAGCTTCTAGGCTCAATTCGGTCGTAAGTGCCAAATTTCATTCCATTTGGCCAAATATTAGACGTTTGGTGCACAATAAAAGGTAAATCGGAAGAAGAAGGAGCTATATCCAAATCTGTATAATTTAGCAAATGTATTTCTGAGCTGTATTTGCTATACTTTGCCAAATATTGTTGTTACAGAGTGCATATTACGGCTACGGAGGACAAAAATAACAAATCGGATGAAAAATATATATGGGAGCTATAGCTATATCTGAACCGATTTCGGCATACTTATTTTCGGGCCTAATTCGGTTGTATGTGCAAAATTTTATACTATGATATTACACGTTTGGTGCACAAAATGCAAATATATATATGGGAGCTATATCTAAATTTTGACCGATTATCTTCAATTTCAATAGGGTTCGTCCTTGGGCCAAACAAATGTCGTTTTGAAAATTTCATCTCAATCGGATAATAAATGCGACCTGCATTTTGTTCACAAGAATACATGATACAGACGGACGGACTGACAAGCAAAAATCAACTAAGAAAGTGACTGTATGCAGATCCTCAAAAGTAACTATGGGTCTATCTCGATTCCTACTCCATTTTACAAACAAATGCACAAAGACATAATACCCTTACCACTATGTGGTGTAGGGTATAAAAATTAATTCGTGATGGTGAGTTATTCGATAGTGCGATTTCTTTATATTTGGCTGGAAAACCACATGTGGCTATCGTTAAAGCACTCCAGCATTTAAATGTGAACAAATCTTTTGTGTCTCACACCATCGCTCGTTACCGTGATACTGGTAGCGTAGCCCGACGTCAAGGAAGTGTGCGGAAAAAAACAGCAACATCAGCAGAAATGGTTCGAAAAGTAAAGAAGCGACTTGATCGAAACCCGCGTCGCAGTGGCCATAAAATGGCTCGTGAGCTGAACATATCGCAATATTCCATTCGGCAAATATTAAAAATGAGCTCAAGGTTAAGCCATTGAAATTCCAAAAAATGTAAGAACTTATACCGCAGAAGAAAGAAAATAGACTCAAAACAGCTAAAGTGTTGCTTCGCTTGGCCGAAAGTGGTGAATTGCCAAATTTGGTTTTCTCCGTTGAGAAAACATTCGTTGTCCAGCAGTTTGTAAACAAACAAAATGATCGTGTTTACTTGCCAAAGAGGTCATTTCAGCTGAAAATGTGTACCTTCGGTTGGCCACCAGAACTCAAGCCCCGGCCATGGTGATGGTGTGGGCCGGCATAACAGCCGATGGTCCCTCTCCGCTCATGACAATATTATCGCGAAAATATTCTGGAGGGTGTACTAAAGCCTTGGGCACGCAAACATTTGACCGCAGACTTTGGACATTCTAACAGGACGCAACACCATAGCAAACAGCACGCGCCACCAAAGAATAGTTACAAAATGAGGTAACTCGCTTCATTTCCAGCGCACAATGGCCACCAAAATCTCCGGATACCAATCCGTTGGACTATTGTGTCTGGAGTATTTCGGAAGGCAAAGTTGGCACTAAAAAATACCAAAGTTTCGATCACCTCAAGCAAGCGCTTCGCCGGGATTGGGTCAAAATATCGCAGAGCAACATTCGGGCAGCGTGTGACGGTTTTATTGGCCGTTTGAAGGCCATAATTCGTGCCAAAGGTGACCAATTCGAACAAATCTAAACTTATTCTAAAATTTGATGCTTTCATTAAATTTAAAAATTTAAAAAAATAATATTAAAAAAAAATAAGGCATTCGTTTTTGTTGCAGTTTTTTTGTTTCACCCTGTATAATAAAAACTTTAACAAAAATCTTTGTGTACAGGGACCCCCGAAGCCTCAACTGAGTATTTCTTTAATTTTTTGAAACATTAAAACTCAAAATATTTGATAGTTCAAGTTTAAGTTTCCCTTTCAATTACAACATTTACACTTGATTTTTCATTTATTGAGGACCATCGAAATATAAATATTTATAAATGTTGATCTCTGAAGAATGTGGTTTTTCAGGATCACCAAATTTTTAAAAATGAATTATAAAGGACGTTCAGAGCCTCAAATATGGTGCTAAAGAATATTTGTCTAGAATTTGCAAATTAAGGACCTTTAATTTTTAACAAAATCCTTTATTACGTGTATTTTCCGATGATCATATTTGAACGTATTTTTTGAATATTTTCAAGAGGTTATCACCGCCTCAGATTCAAACTTTTTACGGTATTTTTTCAAAACTCCATTTCCAATATTTTGAGTTTTTTTGTGTTCTTTATTCAAATAGAAAATTAATTTGGCCCCTTTATCCCACTGTGCCAAGCAAAGACAAAAACGAAATTGCAAGAAATACATTTTTGCTGGAAAACTAACAATCCCGCATGTTAACAGCAGACAAACCAAAACTCATCAATCAATTTTCAATGTAGAGTTTTTATTTTCATATACCAACCCACCAAAAAACGAAAACGAAAACGAAAAACTAAATAATTTTTGTTTGACCACAAAATGTGGAAGCTGATAACATTACAGGATACATAACCACAGATGTTTAGAAAAGAATGCAAAGAAAAATACAAAACAAGAAAAAAAAAACAGACACACACCAACAAAAAAAATTCTGGCTCCATGGCTGGGACAAGAAAAATAAACAACAATGGAATGCCTGCAAAGAAAACTCAACAATGAACTCTCAATGACTCCATTTGCAGTGGAGCCATTGAGTCCGTAAAGAGATAATGAGTGAAGTCAATGGAAGTCTCCAATGAGTTATTTTGTGCCATGCACACATCTAAGGGGAGCAGCAGCAGCTGCTCGGGTAGTTGTGCGATTGTGAGTGTCTGGCGTTGAGTGAATTTCTGTTTCAATTGTGTGGGGAAAAATTAAATGTGTCTCCATTGAAAATACCGGTCTCAGAGCGATACCCAACAAAAACAGAAGTCAGCCACCGCAACGGCAGCAAGACGCCAGTGGACGATAAAAAAAAATACCGAACAGTGTCTGTATTAGTGCATTGAGATTTTCTGTGTAGAGTTATTGGCTTCTCCAAACAGAAATGCAGAAAAATCAAATCAGTTTGATTTGGTCGTGCCACAAAAGATCACTGAAATTTTCCAAATACGTCCGATATAATTGAGCCAGCGGCATCGTGTGCTAATCGCGATAATCAAGCAAAGGTGCAAAAAATTAAAATTAACAAAGAAAAAATAAGAAAAGAATTTGAAAATATTTTAGTGATTCGCAGCAGCATCCTTTTTTGAGTGTTTTTGCAGTGTTTCGTGGAGAATTATCCTTTTCTCGATTTACTCGTTTTTTTGTGAGAGTGCTTTTTTTTGGAGAGTTCCAAAAATTCTCTTCGAAATCCTTGCAAAATATAGACCGGGTATAGGTTTTTCCTGTGACATTTGTTTTGAACCTGCGCAGTAGTTCCTGTCACAAGGTGAGTATTCTCTTCCAAGGAGAGAGAGAGAGATAATGATTTTTATTTTTAAAAAAGCTTCTGTTTAACAACCTTTTCGCCAACAAACCAAACACAAATCTCTGCAGGTACATATGTTCGTATGTAGCTCTGTTTGTAGGTCCAAATTGAAGCTGATTGAAGACATACGTACGAATTCAACATCTGTAGAAGATAATCTCAAATTCGTAGAATTCTCGACAATGAGAAATAAGATTTATCTGGCAAAAGGACTAATTGTCTACATGCCAGTCAGGCAGTCAGTCAGCCTGGCTGGTTGGCTGCCTGTCTTAAATCTTGTCTTGAAGTGCTTCTTTGTTGTCAAAACAAAGCAATAAATATGGCTTTTAAATGAGCAAGCCAGCAAAGGTGGTGGTGCGGAAGAGGGCCAAGGGGATTATAAATTCTGGCCATGGAGAATGCGTTCTGGGCTAATTGCGTACCTATGTAAACTGGAACTCTGATGAAAATGTTAAATGTCGGCAAATTTAATGGCATGCGGAGCTCAATTTTCATGGGAAAATTTTAAGTAGGATAAATACGCTGTATTAGGACAACATATGGCGGCTTGGGAGATTTTTCTGAGAAATGGGAAATAGGCAATGGAAATCAGGGACAAACGAGAGAATAAATGCGGATTATCCAAAGAATTTTTTTTGAGGATCATCTAGGCCCCAAACGTGAATTTTTGAAGAAAAAATCTCGAGGATCTTCAAGGTGCAATTGGCGTCGATTCTTCTAAAGGTTATCATCTCGAGGATCAAGAGACCAAATGGCGTGGATTTTTTTAAAGAATATTTTTTTAAGGACCAATAGACCAATAAACTTGGATTTTTTAAAGAATAATTTTTTAACGACCAATAGATCAATAAATGCGTATTTTTTAAAGAATAATTTTTTAAGGACCAATAGACCAATAAACGTGGATTTTTTAAAGAATGATTTTTTAAGGACCAATAAACTTGGATTTTTTAAAGAATAATTTTTTAAGGACCAATAGGTCAATAAACGCGTATTTTTTAAAGAATAATTTTTTAAGGACCAATAGACCAATAAACGTGGATTTTTTAAAGAATGATTTTTTAAGGACCAATAAACGTGGATTTTTTAAAGAATAATTTTTTAAGGACCAATAGACTAATAAACGTGGATTTTTTAAAGAATAATTTTTTAAGGACCAATAGACCAATAAACGTGGATTTTTTAAAGAATAGTTTTTAAGGACCAATAGACCAATAAACGTGGATTTTTTAAAGAATATTTTTTCAAGGACCAAAAGACCAATAGACGTGGATTTTTTAAAGAATATTTTTCAAGGACCAAAAGACCAATAAACGTGGACTTTTTAAAGAATATTTTTCAAGGACCAATAGACCAATAAAAGTGGATTTTTTAAAGAATAATTTTTTAAGGACCAATAGACCAATAAACGTGGATTTTTTAAAGAATAATTTTTTAAGGACCAATAGACCAATAAAAGTGGATTTTTTAAAGAATAATTTTTTAAGGACCAATAGACCAATAAACGTGGATATTTTAAAGAATAATTTTTTAAGGACCAAAAGACCAATAAACGTGGATTTTTTAAATAATAATTTTTTAAGGACCAAAAGACCAATAAACGTGGATTTTTTAAATAATAATTTTTTAAGGACCAAAAGACCAATAAAAGTGGATTTTTTAAAGAATAATTTTTTAAGGACCAATAGACCAATAAACGTGGATTTTTTAAAGAATAATTTTTTAAGGACCAATAGACCAATAAAAGTGGATTTTTTAAAGAATATTTTTCAAGGATCAAATAACAAAGAAACCTGGACTTTTTAAAGAATATTTTTCAAGGACCAAAAGACCAATAAACGTGGATTTTTTAAAGAATATTTTTCAAGGACCAAAAGACCAATAAACGTGGATTTTTTAAAGAATATTTTTCAAGGACCAAATAACAAAGAAACCTGGATTTTTTAAAGAATATTTTTCAAGGGCCAAAAGACCAATAAACGTGGATTTTTTAAAGAATATTTTTCGAGGACCAAAAGACCAATAAACGTGGATTTTTTAAAGAATATTTTTCGAGGACCAAAAGACCAATAAATGTGGATTTTTTAAAGAACATTTTTCGAGGACCAAAAGACCAATAAACGTGGATTTTTTAAAGAATATTTTTCAAGGACCAAAATAACAAAGAAACCTGGATTTTTAAAAAATATTTTTTAAGGACCAATAGACCAATAAACGTGGATTTTTTAAAGAATATTTTTCAAGGATCAAAAGACCAATAAACGTGGATTTCTTAAAGAATATTTTTCAAGGATCAATTGACCAAAAAACGTGGATTTTTTAAGAATATTTTTCAAGGATCGATTGACCAAAAAACGTGGCTTTTTTAAGCATATTATTTAAGGACCAACAGGCCAATAAACATGGATTTTTTAAGCATTTTTTTAAGGACCAACAGGCCAATAAACATGGATTTTTTAAGTATATTTTGTAAGGACCAACAGGCCAATAGACGTAGATTTTTAATTTTTTTTTTCAAGAACCACCAGACCAATGAGTTTTGATTTTTTAACGAATATTTTTCAAGAGCCAACAGAACTGTAGACATCAATTTTTGAAGAATATTTTTTCAAGGACCAACAGACCAAAAGTCGTGGTTTTTTAAAGACCAACAGATCAAAAGACGTGGACTTTTTAAGAATATTTTTCAAGGTCTAAAAGACCAATAATTGTCGATTTTTTAAGAATATTTTCTCAAGGACCAACCGATTTTGTAAGAATAATTTCACAAGGACTGATAGACCCGTAGGAGTTCAGTTCCAAGATTGGATATTCCAAGAATATGTTTTCAAGGACTAATAGGCGTTCATTTTAAAGTGAATGTTTCAAGAATATTATTTTAAGGACCACCAAAACTTCAATCGTGGTTCTTATAACACATGTTTTGATGTCCTCCAAAGTTCCCAAACGTGGAGTATTTCAATTTTTTTAAGAACTATGATCCAATTCTTAGAATTCTTAGAATCACTAAAAAATTTTCAAAACATAAAATATTCTTCCTCCCCGCCATCCATCAACATTTGGCCAATTTCAATGGCTGTCAATCATAGAGGCAAAAATGTCCATAGACTCACAAAAGACACTGACAAACAAAAATGAGATTTCAACCCCATCTTTAGTTCGGCAATCAGTATCACCTTTGCCATTGGCATGGAGAGTAATTTTGTTACAATACCCACACACAAATCCCCTTCCTCACCTCGCTTTGGCACTGTGTAAAGGAAATCCTTTGACGAGCAAAAGACTAGTAACATTAGTATTTACGAAGTTCTTTCGATGGCCATAAAGATGTTGTGCTGGGTATAAGAACTTCCTGTAACGCAACCTCCTCACCCATGGCAACGTGATACTATGTCAAAGGGTTTTTGAAATAAATCTCTCCGAATGTGTGGGTGTGTTTGTGTGTGCGAAAATTTTTATGATTTAAAGACAAAAACAAAATGTGAAAATATAAATTTAAGGATATTTACTTTATTACCGGCCTTACACTTGAAACATATGGATGGTGTTTCACAATGGCAACCCGGCCTTATTGATAGGCTGAAATATATTTTCAACACAAACACACACACACACAAAATGGCATATGGGTATATGAATTAATATAGAGTTGTAGAAAGTGTTTACTTAAGAATAGAAAATAATTTATCATAAAGAACGGGGTCCTTTTAACCCTTTGGGTTTTTCTTGAAAAATGGCATGTTTTTCAGATGGGGTGGGGAGGTAAATATGAGAAATGTTTGCTAATAAATATATTTATTTTTAAAGATATAATCACTGGACATATGATATGAAACAAAAACCGAAAAAGAACATAAAGATTGGTTTACAATGTCTTTTGATTTATGTTCGACACACGAGCCCAGAAGTTTCCAAATTAATGATCCATAAAATCCACATAGGTTGAGTTTTAGTGGTTGGTAGCCACCATCGAATGATGAACATGCACTTCAAAATAAAATGTTAAGCTGTCATAAACTCTATCTTCAGGCTAAATGCCGTGTCGATTGGCTTTTTATTGTGACAACTGCAAAATCAGGATAATTCTTCGTGTAGGTCCATTTGAACCCCTAATATAATCGTCAAAAACAAAGGTCTTCAATTTTGTCCTATACCCTACCCCTATCTAAAATTTCGTGAGATTCAGACAATATGTGCGACCTGAATAACGATCACTCTCGAAGGGTGTATCCGATTTGGTCCACATTTTGGTAAATCGTAATAATATTATCAAGTTCGGATAAAAGTCGTAGATTGACTGTATAGGTCCACTCCAACTGGTACCTCCCCCACTAAAGGTCTGCATTTTCACAGAAAATAATTTACCGTATGAACACTAAAGGACCATCCAATTTTGTGCAAACTTTACAAATCCCGATACTTGTATCAGTTCTAGGCCAAGAGCGAAAATGGGCAATATTAGTCCACTCCAACAACCAACCACTCCCACACAAAGGGTCCAAAATTTGGAATAATTATTTATCTTATAAAATGCGAAATAAGCATCCGTTTCTCTTAAATTTTACATCACAGTACTTCTGCTAACAAAAGATCTGGTGTGAAAATGGAATATGTCGGTTCACTCCTTCTGGTACCTCCCCCACAAAGAGTCAACATTTTTAATAAATATAACCCTTTTAAAATGCGAAATAGTCTTCCGATTCTTTTCAAATTTCATACAACCCAATTTTTTTAATAGCACAAGACTTGGTGTGAAGATGGTAGATATCGACACACTCTTTCGAGTACTTAACCCCACAAAGGGGTCGACATTTGGAATAACCACGAAGTTCATAAAACGCGAAATGAGCATCCCATTATATTCAAACTTGCAACATCCCAATATATCTATCAACACAAGACTAGGTAGGGAGATGGTATGTGTCGGACCACTCCTTCTGGTACTTCCCATAGAAAGGGTC